GTGAGACAATAGAGCTGGGCTTAGCGGTGAAATGTTTGCAAAGACCTCTGGGATTAGTGAGTCTTACAATAAATGCCTGCGACATGATAGGTGTGCGTCACTTAAGTTCGCAAATGCAACAAATCATGTTGAAACGACTTTGTCACATAAGATAAAAACATTTTTTTTGTATAAAGTAGTTATTTATTTTATATATTATTATGCGGGCATTAAAGACAAAATGTGTTCAATAAATTTCACGTGTCTATAAAACAAAAATCAATAGGTGACTAAATGATATTGTCAGAATTCCCTGCCAATTCGATGAACAATTGAATATACAAATGTGGGAGTAAAGATATGTAAGTATATGCCGTTATTTACACCAGCATGTTATTATAATGCAACAAAGCTTTGCACAGAACAGCCAGATTTGTATTTTTTAAAAGGAAGATTTAAAAATTAGATACTGGTTTTTCAATATACAATCGTTCATCCTATTAAAATGAAATAAAACGAATGAATTTCCGACTAAAATTATTCATACCACGTGTGGTCCGTTAAAAAATACAGAACTCTATTGCAGTTAATACTTTAGAATTTAAAATATATATAATAGTACTAACATTTCCAGGAAGTCTTTGTTTAAAAGTAAAAAAATTCTTTGGCGAAATTTCGATTTCATTCTTCAACATGGCGGCTATCGAGGGTGAATTACCGATTATATAGAACTTTCAACTTTTTCACACCATTTTTTTAGTACAATTTTTTTTTTGCTTCAAAAACAGCCTCAGTATCTATTATTGCCACTCTATTGAGGACAGAGAAAGTCGTTAGGGTCAGCCTCGAAGACTGATTTATACAATTTGGCCATGGTTTTTATTGATTTGAAGAACAATTTATTCTCTGGATAAAACAACACTTTCTACCTTTATCAAATTAAACGTTAATCTGCAATTTTGTCCATATTTGAATACTAATAAAAATCGCTGTATATGTTTTTTTATTGCTTTTAAAGATAGTTAGTTGGCAACTCAGTGATTTGACAAAATGTTTGATTGTTTAAATTCTACCAAGTGTCTTAAAGTGGAATCTTAAAAATATATTTTCTACGATGTTGCTTAGTTCCCTCTTACCTAAGAATAGAAAGTTTTGGCCTGTCCGCCGGTACTTTTGTGGTATGCCCTGTGTTGCTGGTGTTCCAAGACCTGAAGTACTCTCCTAGATCCCATTGCTTCAAGCAGCCCTTGAAGGAGCTTAGTGATCTAAGGAAGTTTATGAGAACTCTTTTCATGGCTGCCGTAGAGCGGGCTAATGGGTGTTTTGCCTGGAACAGAGGCTCAATAGCACTCATCAAGCCGCTTTGTCATCTCAGCACCTTTTTTGTTTTTTCAAAATACCAAAACTTGAGGTTTTCAAACAACAGCTGTAAAATCTACACATGTGCTTTGAGAATTAGATCTAACTACGCAACTTATTCTAGCGGCGATCTCACACTTACTTAATAAAACTATACATGATTTTATTTGTTTCGCAGCAAAGAGATCTTTAGTACTCGGCCAAATTTCTTTTTCTTATATCATACTTCAAGTTTTGAAATTACGTGATATAATTCACCATTTAAAGTCGAAATTCGATATACAAGTATACAAGTATGTAAGTATACATACCTATATGTTAGATGAGACAAATCGTCTTGCTCAATTCAGATGAAAATATGTGGTCAATGCAGCTGGCCTAACGGAAAAATTATACGTGAAGTTTGTTTGTGTATAATGAAACTCCTTTATCCCATAAGATTAAAAACATTGAACTATTTGAAAATCACTTTTCAATATTAGTTAGTAATATACATAAGTAGTATGTCGACTAAATTTTATAAACTCCACAAAGGTCCTGTTTTTTCTCAGTTTACAATAAACTTAACCTTACTAACTTAAACAGTTGGAATGCACCGTTATATGTTTTCAGTATACAATATATAGTAATAGACTTAGTATTAAAACGCTTATACGAGGTCTGTAAGCGGCTCCACACTCATCTGTTACATCAGCTATTACATTCATCAATTTTTACAAACGAAACCCAATTATTTCGGCTTTCTTTTCTTTTGCCGTTTTTGCATCACAAAACAGGTCATTGAGGTTCGCTTGCGTGACTAAATGTGAAGGCATAAATTCTCTTTCATCATGATAAATAAAAAATATTTGCACATTTTATGTTAGTGTTATGTTTTGTTCATGTTAGCAATTATCAATTGTTCGGTTATATTATTTTGTAATTTTTATGGCCTTGGTGTTTAGACGGAATCCAGAGTTCCACTGATTTTTACAATATAAATGGTATTTTCTTGTATGTAATGGTTGTTTCCAACTGGCCACTGGTTTAATATTTTTACCAAGTCTTATCACATAACCTAGGCGACAAATCGGTAAAGTCGGCTTCATTATGCATCTATAATGTATTGACACACAAACTACATCAGACAGTATTTTATGCAAATACAGTAGAGTTAAAGGAGTGTTGAAAATATATCTCCACGATTAAAACGTTGTTTCAGCGTAAGTCCTCGTATGACAAAGCAAAGCATACCCAACATATACATATGTCAAAAATATGTGTGTACTTCGGCAGCTAGTTTGATATTTATCCCCCTATGGTTCTTTTAAGACTTTTATAAACATTCATCAAAACAACAGAACACAGGTATGCTTTGTACTTCAAGAATGTAATTTTAAGCACGACGATCACCATTGCTAATTTCTGAAATTTCGATTAATAAATTGTATAAAAACAACCCATTCACTAGAGTAACCTCTCTCTTCAAAATGAAAAAGTTATGTTTTCTATTATGATGAAACAACTATTATGAGGTCGAAAACCATTTATTGGGCAAAAACTGAGTTTCGCTCGAAGTGATAATCCAATACTATCTAATCTACAAAAATAAAAGCTTTTACTTAATGGACTCCATTTTCTCGGCAGGAAATGTCAATCAGCTTAGAGTAATTTTGACTTGAAAAAGTATTTTATGAGAATCTTTTAATCTGTATAGTCGAGTATGCATTTTTTCAAGCCTCAGTTGCCCTTTCCTTAATGCGATTCCTTGTACCAAATTGCAGTTTTGCATCTTAATTTGCGGCTTAATTATGGCAATTTATATGTTTGCGATTAATGGCGTTTTGTGGGTGTGGTAGTAGGCCATTTACGCCCTTCTACAATACCAAATTTCTTATGGATTTTTGCTCAAGTTATAATTGCGCGGATAACCAGACGGACAGACAGTTATCCGATTCAAACAACCGTTTGGTGAACAAAACTAGTATACTCTGTAACAAGATATACTTTTTATACTCTCGCAACCTGTTGCTATAGAGTATAATAGTTTTGTTCACCTAACGGTTGTTTGTATCACCTAAAACTAATCGAGTTAGATATAGGGTTATATATATATAAATGATCAGGATGAAGAGACGAGTTGAAATCCGGATGACTGTCTGTCCGTCCGTCCGTCTGTCCGCCCGTAAAAATTGAGATATCTTTATGAAACTTGATAGACATGTTTCTTGGTACCGTGAGACGGTTGGTATTGCAGATGGGCGCAATCGCACCACTGCCACGCCATTAATCAAAAACAAATAAATTGCCATAACTAAGCTCCGCAATAAGATACAAGACTGTTATTTGGTACACAGGATCACATTAGGGAGGGACATCTGCAGTTAAAATTTTTTTTAAAAAGTGGGCGTGGTCCCGCCTTTAATAGGTTTAATGTTCATATCTCCTAAACCGCTAATGATCCAATTACAAAATTCACTGGAAGCAACTGTTTTTAGCACTTCTACTGACGGTGTGAAAATAGTTGAAATCGGGTGGCAACTCCGCCCACTCCCCATATAACGGTACTGTTATAAACTACTAAAAGCGCGATAAATCAAGCACTAAACACGCCAGAGACATTAAATTTTATCTCTGGGATGGTATGAGATTATTTTATAGGAACCGCGTTTAAAATTAGACAGCGGGCGTGGCACAGCCCACTTTTAGGTGAAAACCCATATCTTGAGATCTGCTTAACCAATTTCAACAAAATTCGGTACATAATATTGTTTTTATATTTCTATGTTATATATATGAAAATGGGCGAAATCGGACTACAACCACGCCTATTTCCCATATAACACCATTTTCAATTCCATCTGATTCTTTCACTTTCCACTATGCATATCAAGCAACAATGATTATATCGGAGTAAAACTAAAGTATGCCACCTTGTGACCAAAAGTTGTCTAAATCGTACCAAAACTGTTCAAACCCCTAAGTACTAAATATGTGGACCCCAGTGCCTATAGTTGACCTTCTACCGAGAATATCAGTCAATCCACAAAGAAATCTCAAACGAGTATACCATTTGACTTTGCGAGAATATAAAATGTTCGGTTACATCCGAACTTAGCCCTTCCTTACTTGTTTTTTATTCAAATATGTCGAACTTTGTTCCTGAAAATTGTTGAGAAGTTTTCTTTATTATTTTAATTGGAAGGAAATCTCAGTCGAAAGACATCGTATTTTGAAGGAAGTGTATGCTGAACATGTTCTATCTGAGCGACCTTGCGAAAAGCCACAATCAAACGCAAGAAAATTGGGTATTGGGTGAATTGAAGCCAAAAGACGTTGAAATATGAGTTTAAATTTCAGTAAGTTCCTTTAATTCTACAAAAACAAGTCGTTTTTGCATCGGATTGTGACTGATGGTGAAAAATAAATCCAATTTAATGTAAATATTCGCCAAAATGGCCTGGCGGTTATGGTTATGTACTACATATGAATAGTGTTTGTAGATCGCATTTTTACTACATAAATCATATGCATAATAGAAAGTAGTTGAATATTTTCCACCCCGTGAATACGTTCTTTTGTATTTATGTTACCAGCTTTGAGCAAATTGCATCAACGGTATCAAATTACTTGCACACAATTTCCATTAAAGCCTTATCATAGATGTATATGTAAACTATAAATTTAAATTTAGTTTCGTGTATAGTTTAAAGATCATATTTATTTCAATCACAGCACAGAATACAGAGAATATTATCGTACTTCATCGTATATGTATGTAAAAGTATATTATTTGCAAATGCCCATACAATATTAAGAGTGTTGTTAATAATTATGTATATTTGTATGTATATGTGTGCATTTACTGCTACAATGCATTTCGAGTGTAAAAGTGAATTAATAATGAATGATTTGGGGAAATTTGTAGAATTTAGCAAAGATTTTTAACCGGAGAACGGAGGCTGTATACCTCAATAAAGCACCTATTTGTAAGGAAGGAAGTTTGCGGTAGTATTGGTTATGTTATTTAATATGTTGTCAATAGTGTCTTCGCGTTTTAATTTGATTACCTTCAGTGCTGGATAGTCGTTATTAAAGGAATATTTAAAATAAAATATCGATATACTATCAGGGTTGCGACTTTTTTAATGCAAAAATTTTGGGTTAAAAAGTAGATTTTCAATTTCCATATTCGCGGATTAAAAATTAAATTGTCACTTTTTAATTCCGATTTTGGAAGTTTACGGAGTAAAAATTTTAAATTATATTTTTTAATATAGCAAAAACTTTAAGTTTTATTTGTAATCTCAAAATCGGAATCAAAAATTAATAAAATATGAATTATGTAATTTGAATGTGTAAGTTTGCCGAGCAATGTTCTAGAATATTTAAGATGATGGTTTGCACAGAGGTGGCAAATGGTGGAATTACGCAAACGCGAAAAAATGTTAATTCCAAAAGAATTGCCTTTTTAAATTATCTATTATATGCTTGATATTATTTTATTTTTGCAATGCGGTATTTGGGATTAAAAATATATATAAATACATATTTAATCCGGTTTTTGAAAAATTTTAAATAAACCTTTTTTCTCGTATTTGGGATTATTTTTTTTATTATTTTTTAATCCGGTATTTAGGATTTTAAGTAACTTATATTTTAAATAAATATTGTTTTTAATTTTGCAATCCGAAATTTAGGATTAAAACTTAAATTTTTTTAAATAAGATTTACGGGATTACATTTGTATCTAATTTTATTCAAATGTTTATTCAATTATTTTTTTAATGCATTATTTGCAACCTTGCATATCATATACAAATACTTTAAACTAAAGCTATTGAGCAAACACATGTAGTTAGCAAATGTAAGGTATACATATATGTATATTCATATAAGTATATATGCATTTTTTTCGCAACCCATACACAAAATTACAACTATATTATTTAAAATATATGTTTTATTTAAAAAATAATAATCTCAAAAGGTTAACTAAATTGAACAAATTGTAAACAAAAGTAAATACAATTTACTATAGTTTATAAAAATCACTAGAATATTAAAGAATCAAATGTAGTTTATATAAACTTAATTTAAACATAATTTGACAACATGAATGCAAGTGAAAATTGAACACAATGATTACAACCAAATATAAGTATACATAGAAAATAATTGGAATTTTTTAAAAACAAACTAATAAATTGTGACTAAAAGGATGTAATCAAAATATAAATATACCAACATCTAAATTAGTGTAAGTGTTTGTGATTTGTTTCTTTCTACTAATTCCGTTCTAAGCCAAACTTTACTCGTCTTCGCAAACTTAAAGCTTAATATGTGTAAATATTTTGCGATAACTGCTTTTTTTCAAACTCATTTTATGATTTTTACTAATACTGGTAATTATGTGGGAAAATTGCGCGCGCTGGTGGATAGTGTGGATCATGTTGATTGCGATAGCGACGCGCCAAGAAGACTGCCAGTACCTGGAATATAAATACAATATGTATAAATATATATATAAATTAGCACTGATTACATTTACAATTAGGTAATCAACCTAAAAATATAGCAGAAATTAAAAATAAAATTATAACAAATATAATGATGCAAGTGAATGGGGCCAAAGTGCTGTGAAATTATAAGCTTAAAAAAAGTTCTCATATCCTAAATGGGATATGTTAAGTTTGCCACGAAATATGTAACACCCAAAAGGAAACGGATGACGGGATGTCTTCACGACATTTGGCAAAGATTATTGTCTGCAGCAACACAACATGCACAAATTAATTGTATAGATCGCACCATTTTATCATATACATAGCAGTCATATAAATTTAACCATCAAAACTAAGATAAATGTCTTTTTTACACCTTTATGCTATAAAAAATACACCTGAGAAGGGTATTCTAGCTTTGGTGCAGCCAAACTTAACGTTTTTTCATGTTTCAACTTCATTTTTCTGTAAACAGCAGTTAGTGTAACATCTATTAAGAATAGCGTACCGTTAAGTTAATATTCTCTATCAAAATCAGTATTTATTTTAAGCGGGAAACAAACTAAAACCATGTTTTAAATATTTGGAATCACCAGAGGAAAATAGTTACAGTTTTCCAAAGCTATTTACATAAGCACATTTTTAAAATAATACACTAACAGTTAGTCAACAGGCCTCGAAAATTTGCGTGATATAGGATTTAAAATAACTAAAGTGCAATAAAAGAGCTTAGAAACCGAAATGAAAATTTACCATCATAATAAAAAGTTTAAATTAAATTAAATGAAGACCAAAGAACATATTAAAAGTTTTAAAATAGTAAAACTATTGCTTCAATTTTCGGAACAGTCATAATCTTCATAACTTTCTGTAACTTTCATTAAATACCGTATTTGATAACCATTAAATATTGTACCTTTCAACTTTTCCTTATGAAGCATCGGAAATTTTCTACAAATGTAACTAAAACAATATTCTTCCACGTCAACCGCTTTGAAAAATAGCTCTATCATTCCTAACTTGATCACGATAAATCACTGAGTTATTTTATATATTATATATCACCCTCCCATTCTCTGCCACCGGTACTGCACTGATTTTTGGCAATTTGGCGATATTATTGACTGTAGGCGTACCAATGACTTTTAAAATCCCAAGGGAAGTTTTCATTGATTAAAACAGGAAATTTTATATACACAAGTAGACTTTAAGTCTAAATATCTCTACATTTAATTTTTTATAAACCTTCCGCATAATTTTTCGCATATTTTCGGTAAAAAGCCTGAAATGGAAAAATAAATATATATTTACTAACAGGCCGATAATTGATCAAAATATAATATAAGCAAAAATCATAAAAGAGCACATTCAATACTTTCATGAAGAAATTCATAATCAAGATACATGTCAACAATAAATCTAGAACACAGAATGTTGTTGACAACCCCTTGAATTAGGGCAAAATTATGTATATATGTACATATGTACATACATATGAAGGTGTTTTGTATAAATTTATTTGACGCAGACAAGTTGCGTAAAAACAATATAAATCATGGCAATAACACAACAACAATGACGACAGTACATTGTCAGTGCTTGCTATCATCTCAGTGGACAGCTGATTACCACATAGTTGTTATTGCTAAGCTGCTTGAGAAGCGTTTTAGTTGGCATGAATACTGAAATGCAAAAGAAGCGAGCAATATGAGCTAAACTTATTTATGCAAAGAACAGGATGATACACGCACACACACACACTCAAGAAATTTGCATATGCATTAGTTTGCTTATATTTTTCCCATAAATCATATGCATAATAGAAAGTAGTTGAATATTTTCCACCCCGTGAATACGTTCTTTTGTATTTATGTTACCAGCTTTGAGCAAATTGCATCAACGGTATCAAATTACTTGCACACAATTTCCATTAAAGCCTTATCATAGATGTATATGTAAACTATAAATTTAAATTTAGTTTCGTGTATAGTTTAAAGATCATATTTATTTCAATCACAGCACAGAATACAGAGAATATTATCGTACTTCATCGTATATGTATGTAAAAGTATATTATTTGCAAATGCCCATACAAATAAGAGTGTTGTTAATAATTATGTATATTTGTATGTATATGTGTGCATTTACTGCTACAATGCATTTCGAGTGTAAAAGTGAATTAATAATGAATGATTTGGGAAATTTGTAGAATTTAGCAAAGATTTTAACCGGAGAACGAGGCTGTATACCTCAATAAGCACCTATTTGTAAGGAAGGAAGTTTGCGGTAGTATTGGTTATGTTATTTAATATGTTGTCAATAGTGTCTTC